TGGTGGTGGTGGTGGTGGTGGTGGCAGTGCTGGTGGTGGTGGTGGCAGTGCTGGTGGCAGTGCTGGTGGCGGTGCTGGTGGTGGCAGTGCTGCTGGTGGTGGTGGTGGTGGTGGTGGCCGTACTGGTGGCAGTGCTGGTGGCGGTGGCAGTGCTGGTGGCGGTGGCAGCATGGTTCGGTCGGGGACGACGACAATCACTGTTCCTGGGGCTGACGGCGGTGCCGCACGCGGGAGCAGGGACACGGACATGACATCGGTGTGGGTCGGGAGCGATGAGGGCCGAGGTGGTGGCGGTGGCGGCAATGCTCACAGCCAGGCGATGACCTCGAGCCAGGCTCACACCCCGGGTGCTCGAGGTGCTGGGGCGGATCCGGCACATTCCAGCAGCCCGAGGCCCCCCGAGGGGCGAGCGCGCTCAGCCACCTTCCCTCCACAGCTTCATCGAGGACAACCAGATCGGCTCCATCTCCAAGAACGCGCTCCGGGGACTCCGCTCGCTCACTCACCTGTGCGTGCCCCGCCGTCACCGCGCACCCCGCTCCGAGACGAGACGCGGGGCACCCTGGCAGCCGGTGACGGTTCCTCCTGTCCCTCCACCAGAAGCCTGGCCAACAACCGCCTGGAGGCCCTGCCCAGGTTCCTGTTCCGAGGCCTGGAGACCCTAACGCACGTGTGAGGCCCAGGGCGCCGGGAGGGTGGAGGGTGCGGGCCGCTGGTGGGGGGAGGGACCCCGTGCGCACCCCGGCCGGCTGGCACGCACGCACGCACGCACGGCCAGGGGAGCGCGGAGCAGAGCCTGCGGGGGCGGAAGCGGGTCGCAGCCCCTCCCGCCTCTCGCCCCAGGGACCTGCGCGGGAACCCGTTCCAGTGTGACTGCCGCCTGCTCTGGCTGCTGCAGTGGATGCCCGCCGCCAACGCCAGCGTGGGGACGGGGGCCTGCGCGGGCCCCGCCGCCCTGGCCCGCACGCAGCTCCGCCACCTGGACCCCACGACCTTCAAGTGCAGAGCCATAGGTGGGGGCTTTCCCGGCGGGGCGGGGCGGGCGGGGGAGCAGGGGCCCCAGAAGCAGGGGTGGGGAGAGACCCTGAGCACGCAGCGTCACCTTTCTGAGCCTCAGTTTCCTCATCTGCAAAACGAGGGCAATACACAGGGGCGTAGGGTTGCCGGGAGAACTCGAGGATGCGCCCGCGGCGCACAGCGCTCGGTGCAGGAGGGACCCGGGACAGGAGGCCTTTATAAACCTTCACTCTTGTTTGCTGGTATGACATTGACCACTTTGGGCCGGGCGCTGTGGCTCACGCCTGCAATCCTAGCTCTCTGGGAGGCCGAGGCGGGCGGATTGCTCGAGGTCAGGAGTTTGAAACCAGCCTGAGCAAGAGCGAGACCCCGTCTCTACTATAACTAGAAATTAATTGGCCAACTAATATCTATAGAAAAATTTAGCCGGTCATGGTGGCGCATGCCTATAGTCCCAGCTACTCGGGCGGCTGAGGCAGGAGGATCGATTGAACCCAGGAGTTTGAGGTTGCTGTGAGCTGGGCTGACGCCACGGCACTCTAGCCCGGGCAACAGACCGAGACTCTGTCTCCAAAAAAAAAAAAGATTGACCACTTTAGAAATACTTACGTGCCAACTATTGTGTTAGGCACTGTTGTGCAACATCACTTATGTTTACTTTCCTTTGGCTTCTCCATAAACACAGGTGGGTGCCTTTGTGGGTGCTGGGCAGTGGGGAGGGGGCAGCATGACAAGGACAGCCTGGGCCTTGCCCTCACGGAGCCACCATGCAGGGGGAGGCAGACCCACCTCCAGACAGCGACTGCCCAGGATACGTTATTGGGTGGAGATGGGGAGGGACAGGCAGAGGGGTCGGGCCAGGACAGGGGACCCGGGGGACTACGGGAGGCCCAGAGCCAGAGCCACTCGGAGGGACAGGAAGGGCTTCCTGAAGGAGTGGACGTCTGAGTTCCAGCCCGAATCTGGATCTTGACACAGATGCAATTAATGCAATAATGGCAATAATTATTAGCCAAGCGTAACACCTGTTTTTGGCCCGCGGGACTCACGGGAAGAGGGGATTTAATTTAGGGGCTGCTCTTGATTTAAGTTACTCAGCAAACATTCACTGAAGTCCCCTCTGCAGCCAGCCCCATGAGAAGTGACGGCCACACTGTGGTGACAGACACAGCCCTGAGCTCTGGCCTCCTGGACTTACAGTCCCGGGGGGCTTGGGGAGACAGATGTTAAATAAATAACCCACAGATAAATGTACCCTCCCGTTGTGACAAACGCAGGGAGTGATGAGAGATTAAGGTGCTACGGGAGCCAGAGGAGGCTTCTCTGAAGAAGGGACATTAGATCTGGATCTCGCTAAGCGAAGAACGGAGGGAAGGGCACTCCAGAGAGAGGGAACAGCATGCATGGTGGCCCCGAGGCGGCACAGAGCCTGCCCTGTTTGAGGCTCAAAAGGCAGCAGGTGTGGCTTTGGACAAGTGGCTGGAGGGACACAGATGAGGTCAAAGGTGTCAGGGACTTTGAAACCCACAGAGAGGAGAGAAGACTTTATTCTGAGGGCCATGGGGAGCCAGGGAGGGTTTTAAGCAGGAGGTGATCTGATGGCCGCTTTTAAAAGATCCCCTTTGGGTGGACATCCTTGGTGGTTTGGCTCGTTGCCTCAACCTTGGCAGCTGGAAACAGGGCCCGGCAGGTAGAGTGACATAGTACCACCGGGAGTCAACGCCTGGCTCCACCACCAACAAGCGGGGCAGCCATGGTACAGAAGTTGTCGTTAAGGCTGAGCTGCGGGTAACAAGGCTCAAAATCCCGCAAATTGAAGACAGCAGAGTCCGAGACGAGCGGTCCAGGCGGCAGGGCAGCCCCGGGCATCGTCCTTATTGTTGAAAACAGGTTGTAGCATGTCCACGTGCCAGACCAAGTCCAGGGCGGGCTGTTTTCGCACAAGCAAGTGAGGCGAACATAACACCCATCACTCCTGCCCCTGTCCCCCTGGGAGCTTGGGCTCGAGTGGCCGCACCTGACTGCCGGGGAGGGTGTGGGCACAATGTGGCCTCCAGCGGGGCAGTTCCAGTCCCAGTTCCTGGAGGACGGGAAGGATGTACTTTGTCGGGCAACGGGCTGCCTTTGCCACCCAGCCTCGGTTTCCCCACCAGTAAAGGGGAGGTAATAGCAGGACCTACCTCCCAGCGATGCTGTGACGTGAACTGACAGACGCACTGTTTCTAAGGGATTGTTCGGTGACGCCACACAGCGTGGAAAACAAGGGTTACCGGGTCGCTGTGAGTTGACACGGCTATAGGTAAAGATCCCACCTGAACGTCCCTACTACGAGGAGAGCACCCAGGGTGGCCCTCGCTTCCAGGACGAGCAAACCGAGGCTCAGTGACGAGGACCCTCGGGGCCCCCCTGGGACCCGCCTGACGCCCTTCTGCCGCCCCCAGAGCTGTCCTGGTTCCAGACGGTCGCGGAGCCGGCGCTGGGGGTGGAAACCTTCTCCTACCAGGGCGAGCCCCACGTGGTCCTGGCGCAGCCCTTCGCCGGCCGCTGCCTGGTTCTGTCCTGGGACTACGGCCTGCAGCGCTTCCGGCCTGCGGAGGAGCTGTCCGGTGAGGCCCCTCCCGGCCCGCCAGCCCGCGGGGGTTGGGGGGGGCCCTGCCTGGCGGCCTGACCTGCCCCCCACCCCCACAGCGCCCTCGGTGGTGTCCTGCAAGCCGCTGGTGCTGGGCCCCCGGCTCTTCGTGCTGGCCGCCCGCCTGTGGGGCGGCTCCCAGCTGTGGGCGCGGCCCGGCCCCGGCCTGCGCCTGGCCCCCACGCAGGCCCTGGCGCCCCGGCGGCTGCTGCGGCCCAACGACGCCGAGCTCCTGTGGCTGGACGGGCAGCCCTGCTTCGTGGTGGCCGACGCCTCCAAGGCGGGCAGCACCACGCTGCTGTGCCTCGAGGGGCCCGGCTTCTACCCGCGCCAGAGCCTGCACGCCTGGCGCCGCGACACGGACGCCGAGGCCCTGGAGCTGGACGGCCGGCCCCACCTGCTGCTGGCCTCGGCCTCCCAGCGGCCCGTGCTCTTCCACTGGGCTGGCGGCCGCTTCGAGAGGCGCACGGACATCCCCGAGGCCGAGGATGTGTACGCCACGCGCCACTTCCGGGCCGGCGGGGACGTGTTCCTGTGCCTGACCCGCTACATCGGGGACTCCATGGTGAGGCGGGGCCCGGCCGGGGGGCGGGGGGGGGTGCAGGGGAGCGGGCGGGGACACGGCCCTGCCTGCGCACCAGACTGTGCACGCCGGCCCTCCCTCACGCTGCCCTTTGCCCTGCGACCCCGTCCCAACACGGACACCCACGCGGTGCCCCTCCAGGCTGGCAGACTCCGAACCCGCCCCCGTCCCCCCAACACCGACACCAGCCCCGAGATCCCGACTCCACAGCCAGGCTCTGGCTCTGCAGCTCCGGGCACCCCAACACCTAACCACGGCCGTGCCCACCCACACCCTGACACCCCGAACCCCGCCCGCCCCTCCAGCACGCTCTTTCCGGAGTGGGGTGCGGCCAGGGGAGAGCCCTGATCTGACTGGGAGGGGTTGGGACAGAGGGACAGAGGGAGGGGACAGAGGGACAAGACGTCTCCGAGGCTGTGGCCCGGGCCGCTGGGCGGTGCTTTCTTTAGGAAGATGAGAACGTGGTGGGGGTCTGGGGACCCGCAGGCTCCTGTCCCCGAGCTGCTCAGGGTCCTCGGGGCCTCCCGGCCGCCAGGCCCTCCCTCACCCGCGGCCGCCCCCCAGGTCATGCGCTGGGACGGCTCCATGTTCCGCCTGCTGCAGCGGCTGCCCTCCCGCGGCACGCACGTCTTCCAGCCCCTGCTGGTCGCCAGGGACCAGCTGGCCGTCCTGGGCAGCGACTTCGCCTTCAGCCAGGTGTTCCGCCTGGAGCCGGACACGGGGCTGCTGGAGCCGCTGCAGGAGCTGGGGCCGCCGGCCCTGGTGGCCCCCCGCGCCTTCGCCCACCTCGCCGTGGCAGGCAGGCGCTTCCTGCTCGCCGCCTGCTTCAAGGGCCCCGCGCAGATCTACCAGCACCGGGAGACCGACCTCAGTGCCTGAGAGCCGTGTGGCTCCGGGCTGGCCCAGGTGTCGTGGGCCTCCGGATGCTTCCGCGGCGCTTGTGGCCACGGTCTCGGCCTCAGCCCACAGGACCCTCCAGGCCGTCCTTCCGGATCCGAAGCAGCGTCTCGGCCGGGGCTCCTGCCGGGGGCACCTTGCAGGCTGCGGCCCGAATGCGTGTCACCGTCCCCTTCCGCTCCCCCTGTCCCCACTCCCCCGAACGTGCTGAGAAGGGGACAGCGCTCCAACCTCGACAGGTGGAGGGACACCCGCCTCCCTCACACCTGCTGCTGCTGCCGGGGTGCCCGCGGGTCCCTCCCACGAAGGTTGGGACCTGGGGAGGCGTCTCGGGAGCCCCGGGCACCCCTGCCGGACGGGCGGCAGGGGGACGGTAAAGTGTGTGGTTCAATAAATGCTCTGTGCACCGCCTGGCCCATTGTCACGGGGACGCGGACAGGGGGTCTGGTGAAGGGCATGGGGGAGGGCCGGGTCCCCAAGCAGTGCTGGGTTGCGGGGGAGGCAGCCCCAGGGAAGCCACCGGCAGCCACCGTGGGGGCCCTGAGTGTGGGTTTGCGATTACTGGGGGGGCCCCTCGGGGGATGCTTGAGGGATGGAAGGGCCTGATTAGGGGACCGGTCGCCGGTTTACTGTGGGTCTCTTCTTGAGGTCATGTCTCAGAGCATTAGAGGAGACATTTTGGGGTGTTTTGAAGAGTTTGGGGCATCTTACGGGTTGGCTCGTGGGGACACCTTCGATGCCTTCTTGGGGACCGGGAGTCTCAAAGGAGTCCGAGGCTTGGAAGTTCTCACAGCACGTGGCCGTCGAACAGTATTGGAGGAGCGTGGGGACTTATTTGAAGGTCTCACAGGGACATTTGGTATCTGGAAAGGTCTCATGAGAAAGGGGTCTCGGGGGGTATGTGGGAGGGTCCTGGGGCCTTCCGCTGTGGTCACAGCTGTGCGAGCACGTCGTCCTGGCACAGGGCCCTGCAGCCTGATTCCCCAGGATTGTCCCAGTGTCCCCCCCTCCCCCCGCCCAGTGTCCCGGCACTCCCTGCGGTTGGAGCTCGCTCTTGCTCTCAAAGTGCCCCCCACCCCCACCCCTGTTCGACCACTAGAAACCCTTGAACCGCGCGCGGGGCTCTTCCCAGCAGCGAAGTTCAGCTGCCAGCCTCTGTGCCACCCGCCCAGGGCGCGGCCACCTCCTCCTGGCCCCCCCAAACCCCAACCCCGCGCACACACAGGGAGTCAGGGGGCTGCTTGGGCCAGAGGCGAGACCGTTTTTAGATTACAACTTGAACAAAGAGACCCTCCCGTGAGAGGCGACGGGGTCTGGGGACAGGAGGGAGAATTCCAGCCTGGAGCTCCGGCTCCTGCGCAGAGCGGGGACCTGGGGACAGAGACAGGCTCTCCACGCCCTTCCGGCTGGTGGGTCCTCAGCAGTTATGGGCCGAGCCTGGGAGAGGCGGCAGGGTCAGCGTGCGAGGGTGGGTTGAGTTTCTTTCTTCCCAGCGTGTGTGTTTGCACGCACACCTCATTTCCCGTGTTCCCGCTGTCCCTGTCTTACCTGGAGTGATGAGTGGCGGAGCGTCCCCCGAATGGTGGCTAGGGAGACAAAGGTGGTGATCGCCACACCTGCCCCCACCCGCCCCCTCCCGCAGGACTAGAAGATTCTCAGCTTGCCCACACGCGGCTTCCTGGCTGGTTTTCCATCGTGGGGTCATAAGATCCCAGGGACCAAAGCATTTCAGGATTTGGAGCCCACTGAGGACTACTAACTACGAATGATAAACCCGGGAAATCCCAGCAGCGGGAACCGTGTGGGGCCCAGCCTCGAGGCCCGGCCTCTTTCTGTGAGATGTCCCCTGAAAAGTGACTGCCCAGCATGAGGCGGGCATGCCGGAGCCTGCACCCGCCTTACCTGGGCTTCTGCCTGAACTTGCACTTGCATTTCCCACCTGTTGGGGAGAGGTGAGTGGTCAGGGGAGGGGACCCTGGCCCTGCCCCCCCCCAGCCCCCGACGGGGCTCCTGCGCTCACTCATGAGGACGATGATGCCCACGGCGCACAGAACCGCCGCGCAGATGAGCCCGCCGACCTGGAGGCTGTGCCAGTCTAGGGGGAGAGCAGAGGGGACCTCGATGCCAGCCTGGGTCCTCCTCATCCGCCCGCCCCCCCGCCACCTGGCAAATGCGCCCCGAGCACCTGTGATGTGCAAGGTGCTGCCTGAGAACAGGCGCTCACGTTCGAGTTCACGCACAAGCAAGCTCACGCGGAGGTGAGCCGTCTGCAGAGGAGTGGGGGAGGGGACAGAGGGCAGCCCGTCTAGAGGGAGCAGTCAGGGAAGGCCCCTTGGGGGAGGCTGTGTCTGAGCAGAGGCCCGGAAGGAGGCGAGGGAAGGGGCCGTGTAGATCTTTGGAAGGGACCGTCCCAGCAGAGGGGGCAGCAAAGGTCCGGAGGCTGCATGGAGTCCCCTGTGTCTGAGCATCAGAGAGGCCGGTGTGGCGGGAGGGAGGCCAGGAGGGAGGCCGGGAGGGAGGGCGGACCAGCAGAGGCTGGAGGCCCGATGAGGGTTTTGGTGGAACGGCTCACCCCCTCCAGGAGGTTTTCCCAAGTCACGCCTCCCCCCAGCACTTGACTTGAGCGAGACGATGGCTCCTTGTGGCCTGTCCTCATCCCCCCCACCTGTCTGACCCTCTCGCTGCAACAGAACCTTCCCAGGACCAGGCTGCCGTCTCTCGTCCCTTTAATGCACCGCGTCTACCACTCGATGCCCCGATCCGAGTCCCCAACCCTGCCTCTGTGTCACCCACATCAGACCCTCGCCCAGCCCGCGGGGAGGGGGACCCTTGGCATGGAACAGCATGTGGGGGCTGCGGGAGGTGAAGCGGGGCACCGGCTCTCACCGTAGTAGAAAGGACTGTCTTTATCTGCAAGGAAAGAAAAAGGAACATGGACCCGGGACAACAGGCGGGGTGCCGGGGTTCCAGGGGAGGAGGTGGGGTGGGATGGGCGAGGGGGGGGTCCAGTCTGACTCACCTTCCGGGTCGTTGGCGTGCAGGGCGGGCAGGCCTGGCGGGGAGAAGCGGGGAAGGGGGGAGGTGGTGACGCTGGCTTAGCAGGGCCAGTGGAGGCTCGGGGTCCCCTGGGGACGGCACGCCCCACGGTGGAAATGTGGACTTGCCCACTCAGCCCCGCACCTTTGGGTCATGGCAGCATTTTGCCGCCTTAAAATATAGGGCCTAATCTGGGAGCGTTGGGGCCACTGTCTGGTCCCATGTCCCCAGTCACACACACGGCTAATCCATGCGTCCTGCAGAACGGGGCTCTTTCCTTGGGAAGGCGAAAGACGGCGTCAGTTCCCAGGGCCCCGCTTCCCCAAATCCGCTCATCCTCGGAGCCCATCTTCCCGATTCGGCTGCGTCCACACCCGCCTGTCCTGGCGTTCACTAGTGAGGCGCCGCTACACGCTTGCACACGCTTCACTTAAAAGTGCAACTTGGCATCGCGACCCTGCATGGCACACGGCCTGCCCGGGGTGACGGGAAAAGAGAAACGCGATGAAAGCGGAGGACGAGGATCAGATTCTGGTCGGAAGCAGTGGGCCGGCTGCCTTAGCTCCCGGCCTAATCTCTGCTAAAGGCGAATTAATACTTTTTAATTACGTTTAAAGCAAATACACATGGGCTCACTCCGCACCGGGCGCTGTTCTAAGTGCTTTCCAAATATTAGCTCATGCAATCCTCTCAAGGGCTCCATGGGTAGGTGCTAGCCTTCTCCTCATTTTACAGCTGAGGAAACTGAGGCACAGAAGGTTTTGGTGACTGTCTCCCAGTTACTGCTGGTGTTAGGCAAGACACAGCGGCACTGGGCTGAGCCCCATCCTTGGCGTCCTCAGAAGACATACCGAAGAATGGAGAAAGGCCGGGCGCGCTGGCTCACGCCTGTAACCCTAGCACTCTGGGAGGCCGGGGCTGGAGGATTGCTCGAGGTCAGGAGTTCGAAACCAGCCTGAGCAAGAGCGAGACCCCGTCTCTACTATAAATAGAAAGAAAGAAAATTAACTGGCCAACTGGAATATATAGAAAAAATTAGCCGGGCATGGTGGCGCATGCCTGTAGTCCCAGCTACTCGGGAGGCTGAGGCAGGAGGATGGCTTGAGCCCAGGAGATTGAGGTTGCTGTGAGTTAGGGCTGACGCCATGGCACTCTAACCCAGGCAACAGAGTAAGACTCTGTCTCAAAAAAAAAAAGAGAGAGAGAATGGAGAAGAGGGTGACTCTCGGCACATGAGCTGCTGCTGTAAGAAGCCCTGTCCTGGGTCCCTTGAAATCACTAGTGTGACACTTCTTGCCCACAAGGATATCTGTCCCGAGAGACGCACCGGCTCCCCAGGGGAGGCAGAAAAGGACGTGAGAGAGGCAGGAGGCTTGGCCACCACCGGGCTGGGGGGTCCCGGGGAGGAGGCCGCTCCGGGACAGGCACTCACCTGCCAGGAGGAAGAACAGGCTCAGGGCGGCCTCCTGCATGTCAGCGCTGGCCTGCAAGGGACCAGGGGTGGGTCCAGCGTTAGCAGGGCCACCGGCCCACCAGGCCCTCGCCTCTGGGCCCACCACCTGCCCTGCCCCCAGCCAGGGTGCTCAGCCCCGGGGCGGGAGGTGGCGTGGAGACTCGCTGGGCTGAGAGAGAGGAAGGAGCCCAGGAGTGGGGCGGGGGCTGGGCCAGAGCTGAGACCTGACAAGGGAGCGGCTGGAACAACTCCCTGGACAGGACTGTAAGCCCCCACAACCAAGTGAGGGGGGCACTGCCCGCTGTCATCCTCATCACACAGATGGGGAAACTGAGGCTCTGAGAGGGGAGAGAGAGTAGGTGCCAGGGTCGCCCGGCCAGGAAGCAGGATTTAACCCGGGCCTGCCTCCCCAGCAGCTGCTCCCACTCAGGCCTTGGGGTGTTTGGGCAATGGGGTGCTGGCAGCCAGGTGGCGGGAGGCCCGGTTCTGGGAGCGGCTCCCACGGGCAGCTCAGAGCCTGCCCGGCCCTGCCCGGCTCCCCAGGCCACGGGCTGGGCGCTGGGCCTCGGGGAGGAGGAGACATCTCCAGGCTGCGGTGGGGGTCGGTGTGGGGGGGCAAACTGGGCCTGGCTGCGGCCACACCCCCATCTCTGCCCCCCTGCCCCCAGCCCCTGACCCACCCTGGGCCCTGCCAGGCTCCCTCTGGCAGCAAACACTCCCCTCTCCCAGGTCGGCTTCCCTGCCTGCCTGTGTAAGGAACGCTGTCCCCCCCCGCCTGGCACAGCGCCATCCCTCCCCCCCCGCCCCCGTGCGCCCCTGTGCCCTGCCCTCTCCCTGCGCCCTGCATGACCACCACAGCTGGGGCTCCCACTCGCTGCACCCGCCGCGCTGGGCTCTGTCGAGTGACCTCGCTGATTTCACTCATTTCAGCCCCTTCCACCCCTGCGGTCACCGATGGCAGAACACACGCCCAGAGAGGGGACAGCAGGGTCCCCAACCACCGTGCAGGTGTTTCCCGAGTGTTGGCGCAGACTCCTCCCCTCCACCTCCCTGTGCCCGGGGATCCTCAGCATCCGGGCGAGTCCAGATGCGGGACGGGACTCGGGGGCTTGGTCTGAGCAGCCGCGGGTTTGCAGGAAGACGGCCCAGAGCCTCGGGGGGCACCCTTGGGGCACTCAGGACCCCAAAGAGCGTTGGGAGGGCTGGAGCGGGCAGGGCGGCACTGTGGTGTGGGCACAGGTTGTGGGTGGCCTGCCTGTTGTCTAAAGCTACCTCGGGAGACTGTCACCCCACGGTGACACCAGTACTGGTGGTGACAGCTGGTGCTCACTGAGACGTCACCCCACGCCAGGCACTTTCTCAGTCTTCACGCTTATTCACGCGTGTAACCTCGGCAGCTCCACGGAGCCCGGTGACCGCCTGCCCAGACTACTCGCCACTTCTCAAGCCTCTGTCCACAGTCCCTCCAGCCACTCCCGGCCTGTGAGGCCCCCATCCCCCACTCCCATGACATCACCCAGCGGCCGGCACAGGAGACTGGTGGATGGCGTCAGCCTCGGTGGCCTCTGCACCACAGTCTCCCGCCCGCTTTTCCGGAGGCTGCAGGGGGCTGCCGGGAGCTGGGCGGCCGCCCTCACCCCTGGGCGCTCCTGCAGTGCGGAGGGGGGATGGTTTGGGGGGGCAGCCCCCCTCTGTCTGCGACCCCCTCTGCTAGGGGCGTGTGGCACACCCCTCCCCTCCGTCCCTGAGCCCTCCTGACCCGCTCCGGGTTGTATGGCTGCCCCAGACAGCTCCATGCCCGTCCCCCAGAGCTCTCCAGAACCCACGGGCTCCCAAGGCCTGGACACCCCCTTCCACCCACTCTTCCCCATCTTCCCGGAGGCCCCGAATCCACCTAGGCACCCCTGGTCCACTTGGACACCCCCATGCACCCAGGCACCCCCAGTCCAGACACCTCCCATCTACCCAGACTCCACCAGTCTTTCCAGACACCCCAACCCCATGTGGGGGTCTCAGCCTCACCCCAGCTGGCTCGCCCAGTCCCCCGAGAATGACGGGGGAGGGTCACACCAGGGGAAGGGGTTTTCCTCCAGTCTCCTGCCCCCGGGAAAAGGCCTTTGAAGGGGGAGGACTCTGGGGTCTTGGAGAGCAGCGCTTCTGTGTGGCGGGGGCAGTTAGGGGTGGCCGGGAGAAAGTGGGAGCAGAGCCAAAGCGGGCTTGGCGGGAGGGGGCCCGGCGCTCACCTGTGCGGCTCCGGCGGGCAGAGGTTCCGGGGACTCGGGGCTGCCAAGCCGGAGTGCAGCCTTTATCCGAAGCTGCCACGCCCTGAGCAAACCTGGGCAGGTAGAGGACAAGTCAGGCTCCCCAAGGCTCGGGCCTCCCCCACCCCATTCCTGCTCTTAAAGAGACAGCGTCACCCCCTCCCCCACCCCTGGGGCGCAGAGGGCTCCCTGGGGTCACCTGAGGCCACAGCAGCCTCAGGTGCGGTGCAAGTTCAGGGTGGGCTGAAACTTGCCCTCTCGGATTCATTAGGGGAGGTGCTTCCTCTAATCTCCTGTGCCCAGAGAGGGACCCGGAAGGGGGAAGGTTCTGGGACCCTTAACAGCAGAGCCTCTATCTTGCAGGTCCATGCAGGAAGGTGACACACTGGTGTGACAACCTGACTTCTTTCACCTCGTGCTTTGCTTGGGGGAAGGATTGCTGGCAATTACGTGAGACTCAAAGTCCCCTTCCAGGCCATATCTTGCTGTCAGCATCGCTTGAGGGTCAAAGATGCTGGTATGACCAAAGTCGGGAAGTGAGGGCAGGGGGAACATGGGGCAGAGGCCGGAAGAGTGAGTAGGGGTCAGGTGGGGGCCGTGGGGCCTTAGACCAGGCCGTAAGCCCCGCCCTGGGAAACTGAGGGCTGGATCCCAAGCACCAGCCCGGGCTCCTCCCAAGGGTGCAGGAAGCCAGAGGCCTGGGTCTCCGGGGTGGGCGCTGGGCGGGGGGCTGCCTGTCCCCCCACTCCAGATGCAGCCCTGTCCCCTGCAGCTCCCCTCCCGCTGCCCTCTTCTGAGCCGCCTCCTGCAGGCGTCCCTTCCGCTGGGGTCTGTGCGGGCCCCCCATGGTCCCAGTTGGGGGCTCCCCCTCCCCTCAATTCCGCCTTCTCAGACAGAGGGACTTTTGTCCGGGGCTGGATGCAGAACAAGGCGCCTTTGAGCGTCTGGAGGAGGATTGGGGTCACAAGGAGGGGCAGGGCCAGAGAGGGGTGGCTCTGTGGCGGCCACCAGCTGGACCCAGGCGACCCCCTGCACCACCATCGAGGGGTGGGCGGGCCGCGGGAGCCAGGCGGGCCGGGGAGAGGGAAAGGGGCTCAGGTCGAGGCTCTGCTGGGGCCCAACCTGGGGGGCAGCGAGAAGGACCCCCTACTCCTCACTGGGCAGGGACGGGGCAAGGAACGCCCGCCCAGCTGCCTGCTATCCTGCTGTGCTTCACAATGTCTCAGCCCCAGGTCTTGGACTGGGCAAGACCCCCCCATGCCCCACCCACCCCACCCCGCCCCATCAAGGAGGGGCAGTCACCAGAGGAGCAGAGAGGGCCCCCAGGGTGGGGCTCACAGCAGGAGGTGCAGGGGGAGATAGGAGCAGAGGACAGGGAGGCCCGGGAGCAGTCTAGCCAAGGGGGTCTTTGTGTCTGTGCGGACAGCGTCTGTTCCCCAGGTCTCCGGGAAGATCCCTTGGTGGTTTGGGGGGGTGGCATGGTGTCTCCCTCTGCTGGGGGTGTTCGGAACTGCAGGCGTCCGAGAGCCTCCTGACTCCGGTGCTGATGGCCAGGCAAGAACCGCAATGAGTGCAGGACAGGTGTGCAGGACAGGTGTGAGACCGTAAGGCTTGGAGGCAACGGGTAAGCTGGAGAGCTATCATCCTAACAAGACCAGAGCAAGCCCCTCTGGGAGATGCTGAGATATTACCCAGGTTTCGTGGAAGACAGTTTTTCCACAGATCCGGGGGGTGGGGGTGGTTGGGGGGAGGGGTGTCACTGCCTTGGCGCCACCCCATGTCATCAGGTTTTGGATTCTCCCAGGGAGCGCAGCCTGGCCCCCTCGCTGGCACACGCAGTTTGCAGCGGGATCCTGCAGCTGGGAGGGCCTGATGCCGCCGCTGATCTGATGGGGTGGGGGCAGGGCTCGTTGGTGATGCAGCGCTGGGGCGCAGCTGTGGGTGCAGGTGGGGCTTCCCTAGCTCACCTGGCTCCTGGGGGCTGCAGACCGGTGCCGGTTTGTGGCCCCAGGTGTTGGGAACCGCAGCTCTGCGTGGTTTGAGCTGCTTGGCGCGGTATTTCTAACAGATGTCAGAAATCAGAATCTCTAAGCAGAATTCCCGATATCAAACGTTGGCTCAGGCCGGGCGAGGTGGCTCACACCTGTAACCCTAGCACTCTGGGAGGCCGGGGTGGGTGGATCGCCCAAGGTCAGGAGTTCGAAACCAGCCTGAGCAAGAGCGAGACCCCCCCCACCCCCCCCCTCGTCTCTACTAAAAATAGAAAGAAATTAATTGGCCAACTAATATATATGGGAAAAAATAAATTAGCCGGGCAAGGTGGCGTGTGCCTGTAGTCCCAGCTACTCGGGAGGCTGAGGCAGTAGGATCAGTAGGATTACTTGAGCCCAGGAGTTTGAGGTTGCTGTGAGCTAGGCTGACGCCACGGCACTCACTCTAGCCTGGGCAACAGAGTGAGACTGTCTCAAAAAAAAAAAAAAAGTTGGCTCAGATTTAAAAAAAAAAAAATTATGTGGGTCAAACAAAACACATATAAGGGCTGGTTTCCGCCTGGGGGAACCACCAATTGGAGCCTTCCGACGAGCTCTGAGTATGTGATCGCAGTGGTCTTGCATTCTGACGAACCCATGAGGGCTTATACCCAACCCAGACCGAGGATAAATTCTCTCTAGGTTGGACCTGAGCATGCCAACATGCAGGTGTGTGTTGGGCTGGGGCTGGGTTTTGTGGCCAGGGGGACCCTGAGACCCCCGTGTGACAGGCACACTGAGACCCTCGCCAAGGGCCGTAGGGAGTGGAATCCACGCAGTCACTTGTGCCCTGTCGGGGTCGGGTCCCTTCTGGAGTGAGCCTTCCTGGCCCAGTTCACTTTGGTCATATTTTAAATGTGCGTATATATGATACATATTTTATACATCGATAATATGGATAATGAAAATATTTGGACTATTTCCTTCATTTTGCTTCTGAAATCATTTGGCCCTGAAGAACCTGTTGCAGCTACGATTGCCTGTGATTTCTCAGTATCCCAGGAATTCTTGCAAAATGAGAAAAACCAAATCCACAGATAGTTTCTGAACATCACGGTCTTCAAAAACGCCAAACTCAAACACAAAATCAAAGCCATGGGATTCCAACTTCTATTGCTTTTTTGCCCTTTTTCTTTGTAATTATGATGGGTACGTAAGCGTTGTGTATCTCTATAGGATACACGTGATGTTTGGATACAGGCGTGCAGTGCGAATTAATCACATCGGGGTAATTGGGGTATCCATCGCTTTTATTGATTTTGTTTCAGGAATTTTATTGTCCTTGACTTCGGGCCGCGAGTGTGTCTGCAGGCTCCTGGCAGATGTATGGGCCCCACGTGGGCCACCCTGGGGTGTGGGAGCTGGGGGCACCCAAGGCGAGGGGTGCGGCTGGGCGGGGCCCTGCCTTCCCAGGTGGAGCCTGAGCAGCCAGGCTGCTGGGCCGGGAGGCGTGGCTGCAGCGACATTCCACAGCCCCACCTCCTGGGTGAGATGGGGACAGAGAGGCGGGTGGGCAGGTGGATGTGGCTTCCTGGGGCTTGCTGGAGCCGCTCCCTGTGGTCTCAGGAGGCAGCACTTGTGGGAAGAGGGCAGGAGCTGGCAGGTGGCCCTGCCCTGCCACTTTGGGGTGGTGTGGCTGTGGGCATGTCGCCATCTGCCTGGCGTCCAGGAGCCACGTGAGGTGCCACACGGGGTAGCCGGGGATCCACGGGCCCCCTTGACCGGCCCCCTGTGCTGCTCTGATGTCACTCCCCCCACCCCCAAGAAACTAGAAATGTAAACTCTGATTTTTAAATGTTGTTAATTGACTTTTGGTTTTCTTTTTTTTTTTTTTTTTGAGACAGAGTCTCGCTTTGTTGCCCAGGCTAGAGTGAGTGCCGGGGTGTCAGCCTAGCTCACAGCAACCTCAAACTCCTGGGCTCAAGCGATCCTCCTGCCTCAGCCTCCCGAGTAGCTGGGACTACAGGCATGCGCCACCATGCCTGGATAATTTTTTTTCTATATATATTAGTTGGCTAATTAATTTCTTTCTATATTTTATAGTAGAGACGGGGTCTTGCTCTTGCTCAGGCTGGTTTCGAACTCCTGACCTCGAGCGATCCGCCCGCCTCGGCCTCCCAGAGTGCTAGGATTACAGGCGTGAGCCACCGCCCCCGGTTGACTTTTGGTTTTCTTAACACTGTGTAGACCAAATAACCTGGGAGGTTCACTTGAGGCCAGGAGTTCAAGAAAAGCCCAAGTGACATACAGAGACCCTGCTCCTAAAAAATACAAAAAAATTAACCAGGCTTGGTGGCTGTAGTCCCAGCTACTGAGGAGGCTGAGGTGGGAGGATCCCTTGAGGCTAGGAGTTGGAGGCTGCGGTGAGCTACTGCACTCCAGCCTGGGCAATATAGTGAGAGAAAGCAAATGAGACAAAAAAATTAAGAATTGGTGAATCTACGTGAAAGACATTTGTGTTCATTGTACTGGTTATGTCACCACTTTTCTATAGCTGAAAAAAATTCAAAATAAAAGCTGGGGAAAAAAACCCATAAAAATGGTAAATTAAAGTTAATGCAAAATAACATAGCATGAGATTAAAAAAAACATCACTGAAAGAATGAATGGAGGGAAAAGTATTTAGAATACTTTTAGAATATTTAGAATATTTAGAATCAAGTAACCCAAAAGTTAAACAGAATCTAATTGCATTTAAGAGATCATATACTTATGCATATTACTATATATTTTATATTAAATCGTTTTTTATGTGTACATATGTCTACTTTCCCCTTTTAGATAAAAGCCTGTGCTCACTCTGGCCCTCCCACGATGTCTTCCTTTTTCTTCCTCGGGGGTTGGTCCGAATTCCCTGACCCCTTGGCGCCCAGCTGTGTCCCTTCATAGCTGCGGTGGCTTCAGCCCCGGCATGGTGGCGGCCCAAGGCTCCGAGCCTGGCGCTGGGCTGGCAAGCTCCCACCTGGCTGCGGAGCC